CGAAGAAGGCGGGGGGGGGGGGGGGGGGGGAGGGGGCATGTGCCCCCTGGATCTGTGCACAGGACACGGGCGGGCTACCACTGTGAGTTTTGCCCCGGGCACCAAACTTCATTGCTACCACACTGAGGTTCGCTGATTCAGTAGCATATATTTTCTTTTACCAACTGTGTAAAACTGGAAACATACCAATTCCAACTCGACCAATAGTTTAATGGTGAGAGCAATCCTCTGGGATTTAGGACGTTCTAATCCTTGATTTAGATCCTTGATCTAATCAAGTTCTAATCCTTGATTTGGGCAGGGTCTCTCTCTCTCTGCCTCTCACACTGGAGCTGTTCCACTATACAGAAGAACCTGGGTCATTTGTATCTGGGTGGTTCGCAACCAGTTCAATTCTCAGTCAGTTGATGAATTAAGGAAAAGCTGCTCAACTGTTTCCTGTGGTTTTTACTTCAAAGGGCACTGCTTCTCCCATTGCTAAAGCACAGCGGCAGTCCTGTGCAGCAAAACACAGAAGCTATGCTTTTTGAAGTAAAAGCCACAGCAAAAAGCCAGTGCACCGCTGTGGTCTACCTTCTCCCTGTTTGCTATGGCTATAACTTCCACTTAGTTTGCAAACCCTCATCCTCCCAGGGGAGTAGGAGACTAACCTGCAGAGAATCTGGGTTCTACTATGTAAATGGGCTCTAATGATTTAGCCAGTGGCACTGATTGGTTCTATGATCTACAAGGAATATGAATTCCAGTCTTATCTGAAGGCATTAGGCAACAGCTGAATGGTGGTTTTGAGAATAGCAGAAGTGCCAGAAGGTTTGACTTGGGTTCCTAAGTTTCTTTTAAGATTTGCCTGTTGCATTTTAAGTGACTAGTTTAAACTTCAATAACCAATGTCTATTGCAAAAACTGCACTGGGAATCTTCAGGTAAAATATCTGAAGTCAAGTTAATGCTACAATATGTTGTTCCTAGAGTTTGAGGGAAAACTGAGTTTTCCAAGGCATGATTTATTTTTATTTAATATTTTTATTTTTGGAAACAAAAGCTAGCTGCTCCACATGTAAATGAGCCAATTTTCTTTATGTTGGGTGCGTCCCTACAGAATGGAGGTGTTGCTGATACAGAGGACGGTTTTTGTTAAAAATGTATGGTTAAAAACATAAAGCAATTTTTAGAACTGGTATGTAGTACATTAGCTTTACTAAAACTGTATAAAAAATGGAAACAAGCCATTGAGGGTTAGCTCTGTCCCCAAAAGAAACCTACCTACTTTTTGTTCATTATCCATGGGTAAAATACCACATGTGCTTTTCTGTTAGCCTAAAGGTGACCTTTTAAACAGCTTTTTGGCACTGTGTTTACATACATTTCCACAAGATAAAGTGCTGCAGTAAAAAAGCATAGTGTCCTAAATGCACTATATAGATTGAAATGCCTCTGTTTGTGTATAAGTGGTGAAAATAAATCAGAATAATATCTAGGCAAAGCTACACTTTGATATATGAAGAATCCTCACAGCTACATGTTTATAGCATGATGAAGTCTAGAATGCCAGACAAGAAAAATGCTTTTTGCAGGTGGGCCTAAATCTTTACACAGTTGTGATTTTTAACTAACCTGTCTATTTCCATCATGGAGTAGCTTCATGACCATAAATACAGAAAACTACTGACAGTGTAACTCATCCCTTAAAAAACAGTTTGTTCTAAGTGGCACAGACAGTTAAAAAAGGCTTTACTTACCCCAGACAAGGACAATGTATCTCAGTGGAATGAAATACAGGATGACTGTGAACACACAGAGGGCAACAATTGCCAGCCAGCTTAAGAATGGGACAGTCCAGTTGAATGTACTAAACAAAAAATTAACATAAGTCAGAAGTCTAATCGCCTTACCGAACTTACAAAAGAACAGGCAGACTACAGCTCTGCAAACAGAAGAGTCAGTCTTCATTAGTGAGAGAATTGAAACTGTGTATGAATAAATGGGTGCAGAATAGGTGGAAGATCTCAGATCTGTATTCACACCATAAGGAAATGAAAGTGAGGCTTAGCTTCTTCATCCCATGTGAAAAAATCTCTCCCAACTCACTTAACTGGGTCCCTGCATGCCAGTGAGAGACTACTGTTGTCATGGGGTGGGGAATTCCAATACCTTCCCCTATTTTACCCCCAGAAAAAATTGTAAATTTCCTTTCTTCTAAGTTTACTCACAAAGACAGCTCATATCCCTGTCTTTAGTTCATTTGCTCAAACAAGGCCCAAGTGCTTGTGCTTTCCCCGCCACCTCCATTATTAATGGCTGGAATATTGCACAATGCTGGTTAGGTCGTCTAATAGAATTCTCCTCTGGCACTCTGAAACACAGGCAAGGAGTTAACTGTGAATCTGAGTGGCTTCCCTGTCTCTGTTTCATATGTGGTAATACTCCCAAGTCAGTGGTCTTTCAGTCACAGTGGGGTCAGGACTGACTAAAATTATGCAGGTGTTATGCATACTTGTGCAAAGTGGGCAACCCTTCTATGATGCAGGAAAGCAACCTTTCAGAAAGGCAGGATTGATAGGTAATAGGTATGAAAGGGTAGGAGACAGAAGGAAGAGGAGGTATAATATGGGGAGAAAAGGACAGAAAAACAGTATTGAGAATTGGGGCAGCAAAGAGAAAAGGAGAACGTTAAAAAAGAAAGGTGAGAAAGGGACAGGGAAGAACAGCACAAGAAAAAAATAATTATAGGAGGGAAAAGCAAAGCTGCAGCAAAATGGGAAGTGTTCCTTGGGAGACAAAGGAGGAAGTAGAAGGCCTAGACATACGGTATTATTGAAAAAATGTAACTTGATTTTGAACACCAATGCAAAACACACCAGGGTCCAGAGTGGCTAGCTGACCAGCTCTCCCAGAGTACCTGCACACCCAGGTACACATTACTTTAGCATTTCATCGCCTCATTTCCTGGACTAAAGGCTTACCCTGAGATAAGCTGCAAACAGATGGCAAGTACACTAGCATCATTTCCCCCAATAGATTTTTGTTCCCTCTCCTTTTTAGGGTAATTCTATACCAGACTGGGCAATCTTAGCTCAGTGGAGGGGTTTATGCCATCTGCCTACTCATTTTTTCAGGGCCGTACAGGCTGATTATATCAGTGTAAGTGTTTCAACTATCTAGGCACAGAAGGACTGAGGTTTCAAAGAAGCTTCAGGTAAACTGGTTTTACATCAAACTTTAAGATTAAGAGCCTCACTTTGAGCTTCAAATTCCTAAGTGGAATAAAGATCAACTGGGGAGCCACTTTGCAGAGACTATGATATGGGAGAAGAGGAGGATTATGCAGAAAGTCTTGAAGCAGTCGTGGTGTGGATTCCAATCCTCAGTTTGTAGAAGAGAGAAATGGCAACGGGCCAGGTTAAATTATCCCAGGGGATCTTTGGTTAAGTGGGATGGCTATATAAAAGCACCACCACTCCAAAGATTTCACATGGCATTTATCTTCCCATAAAGAAAGTATGTTTTTGGCTCAAAACAGCTTGATGGTATCTTTAAATTATATTGACTGTGTGCCCTGATCACTGTGGCTAAATTATTCTGGCTTCTCTGGTTAAATAATTACTGCTGTCTGAGTTGCTAGCCATATTTTTCATAATGAGCTCTGGCTTCTTGTTTTGTCTTCTTTCTCCCCTGGCAATTTTGACATGTCTCCAGAGTGAACATTATGTTAGTGTCACTTGGTGTAGGATCAGTCCTTTTCTCCTCGGAGGACACCTGCTCTTTTCCCTTCTTCTGCATGTATTTGGGGTGAACAGAAGGTTGAGGGTCTGCTCATGTTCCTGTGACTCGGCTTGGTGCTATGGATCACAGACACCTCATGTGTGGGAACACTGGCTCCTCACTTAGCAAACCTCCTTATGTGCTGTGTTAGCACTGTATTCAGTACAAATTTTCTATAACATTTTTAGGAGCAAATTACAAAGATTTATAGGAAGTGTTATTAATCTCACTTTGTTTAGCAAATGATGTTGCTCTCTTTTCTTATACAATGGAACACAAATCTAATTCCAAAATGCAAGCTGAAAAATATGATCAAGATGACTCCCTTGAACAGCCTTAATTAAAAAGGGGCTAGTTTTGAGAGTCTGACCAATATAAAGTACCAACCCTGCTTCTACTCTTGTGTGTATGCCTGGTTTTGAGGTTGCAAAATGCACCATTTTTCACAAGTACCCCCATGGGAAGACTTCCCAGACTTCTCTTTTATGCTCTGTTTTTCTGAAATGCGTAGATGACAGCTTCTGTAACAACATTCTGTTCATCCTGACACTGAAAAGCTTACTACAGGCCCATGCTATGGGTGAAGTAAAAGAGGATGAGAGGACCCAATGCTTTATAGTTATAGTCTCCTGACCCCATGACATTATATCATTTTCTTAAAATTCACTTCCAGTTAGTGTTTTAGTGCCATGTACCTGTGTGCAGACTTCATTATCAGAAACAGAGAGTACAAATGAACAGTTAGGCCTAATTCATGATAACTACCACTTAGCAATGTGAGCTTAGCCCCTTGGACACCTGGAGTCCCTGGACAGTATTCAAAATAAGTAGTAAACCAGTGTTGGGGCTGTTGTCTCCACCTTTGCATTACTTTGAGTGTACCATGAAAGCCCTGGTAGACCTGTTGTGAGGATGTTTGGAATGACAGTGGTCTCCTAGTCACCTTCTGCCTCATCTTTTGTACTGTGCTGCTTACAGCACCAAGAAGGTCCTGAACACATTGCACCAAACTTCCTACTCTGGAAGGACCTGTGACTGGCCTTTTTCTGGCAGAAGTCCAAGCAGACTTCAGCCCTGTCTTTTAGCTGAGAGATACTTTGTAGAATTTTTCTGGTCTCAAATAATAGTATTCATTGGCTGAACATGCCAGAATTATACCATACTTCCTGTAATAGGCCAGCATCATTCAGATGTAAACACACCATAAAAAAAATTTCCCCTTATATTCTGCATAGTATTTAACTATTTAATTGTAATGTTTACACTTGTTGGTAAAGCATATATTTTATGCATAAATAATACACCTGCAACAGATGAAAACTGCTCTAAAAGTAACCTATCATAAAACAAGCATTCCTAGCAATTGAGCATGTGCGTATGTTTAAAATCTCTGAAATCTTTATTTAGCTCTATGTACTTCTTTGATCAAGAATTTGTATTCATTTTTTTTCCAATGTCTAGGTTAAAAAGTGTTCCATCTCTCAGCTGAAGGACAGTCCTCTTTCTTCCTTCAAAGCCACAGTTCTGATCCTTTTCCAATTCATATACTTCTAAATTCCAGAATTAAAATGACAGGACTTTCATGAAACCAAGGGTCAGCACAAAGCGAAGTAACTAATGATAAGATTTTGCAATACATCATCCCAAAATGGAGTCCTTTGCCAAAAAAAATTTAATACTTTGCACCTCAGCTGGTGAAAAAAATGTGAATACCACAGAAAGCAATCCAGCACCAATGTGTCAGCACTTACTTCTTTATCCTTTCTCCAAGTGAAGCCACTTCATCAAGGACATTTTGGACACTGACACAAACCTCTTGGATGGCATAAAGTTTATTGATAAATCCTTTCTTTTCACTATCCTAAAAAAAACAAAAAGAAAAGAACAGAATAGACTGTCAGTAAAAGTCTGTATTTAGAAACTGTCACAGTAGGGTCCAATCACAGGCACTAGTTATTTCCTTAAACTTTCAATAGGATGTACAGAGTCTACATAAATTTGGTACATAGGGGTTCAGTTTTATGTGTCACTATACCAGTTTCCTAAATGCATATTTCAACAATTCAGGTCTCTGCAATTATTATTGTATTAGGGATGCCATTTTCACTTTGCATTTTGGTTAAGCAGTGTGTCAGGCAGCTTTGTTCCGAACTGCATCTTCTTAGTTGATGTGGTATCCCCATTCAAGATGATAAAAGCTCTTTTTGAAGTACAGGGTGTAAAAAACTAGATACATCTTACTTCTTGTGGACAGGCCGTTGGCTTCAGAAATGACTTGCCAAATTTCCATGTGATATTTTTTTTTTCTGTCATCCCCTTTGGCAGAAATTACCTTAGACAAGAATGTTGGGACGGAACTGGGAAATGCCAAAGGAATTAACTTGATAAATGGTGTTGTGCTCCTTTCCTTATCCCTGGACATCCTGTGCATTTCACCTAATACAGAAAATGTGGGTTCACATGTAACTGTTCATATCTATAATGTTATATAAGGTGCAACTCCATTTTCTTAACAGCATATTTTGTATGCTTAACTGTGTGGAAGACCTGTAATGTCTCAACCATGACAGGAATGAAATATCCTGGGAATATCTAGGAAAGGTGGTTGTGGCAGGTTCATGACCCAGGGGTGGCCATGACGCCCCTTGGTGGCTGCATGACTCCTGTCCAGCTCAGTCTCTATTGCAGCCCTCCCTTAACTGCTCACCCACCATGCCTTGTTCTTAATAGAGGTCAAAGAAAGGAGGATGCACGCAGGCCTGAGAGTGAGCCTTAGTCCATTTGCAGTACCACTGGGTCTCTCTTGGACTCCCAACAGCCTTCATTTGACCCTTGAGCTCAATGGGCCCTTCCATAGCTTCAAGAGCTACATGCATATCTGTGCCTCTCCAGGGCACCCATAGCCTTAAGGGCTCAATGTGTGGCTCTGTTCCTCCCCTACACCACACACCAAGCCTCGTGGGTGTTCTCTCTCTCTCTGACGTTGCCTATTTGTCCCCTTAGGCCCTCAGACCTCCTGGTCCCTTACATGATCTCCCTCTGAACTCCTAGATCCCTGGTCCCACATGCAGCCCCTCCTCCAGGCTCTCAGACCCCTGGTCCCATACAAAACCCCCTCCTCCAGGCTCAGGGACCTTCTACTCTGGCTTAGGCTGCTCTGGGCTCGTGGACCCTCGGGCCTGGCTCAGCTCTTCCCTGGGCATGTGGACCCTCTGGTCCAAGTCTCAGCCTTTTCCTAGGCTCCTGGACCTCTTACTGGGCCCTACTCTCAGTCTGTGGGCTCCTAGCTTACCGAGTCTCTAAGTAAGTCTTGAGCCTTTCACAGCAGGGCTCAAGGCTAAACCACCAGTGCCACTTGAATAAAAATAAGCATCTCAGCCTTTTGGTGGATACCTCAATCCCTCTCTGGGTTCAACATAAAACAAAGGCTGGTTGCCTGTAAAATCCAGCCTCTCTCTGCCCAGGTGACCTGCCTCTGTTCCCAGGCCTGCAGAGTTCTTTACATAAGTCCAAGTCCCTTCAGGAACCCTGCAGCTCTGCACCCAGGAGCTCCTTACTTCATGACTGCCAGGGAAATACGGCCTGATCAGTTTAGGCTCTGGACTCACATAGCTCAAGCCTGAGCCCTATCTTCCGGTCAGGTAAGTCTCCCATTAGCCCCTTAAAGGGGCAGGAACACCCCAGTGCCTTGCTACAGTGATATTATATGAAGTAGTTTGGTTATCTCTTTATTTAACCAGTGTCTATACAAAACTGGATATTTATTCATATAGCCATCAATTTATATTAATACAAAAGGTTTATTAAGTGAGATGTCAATACATTTACAGTTTCATTGCCTATTACTAATAGATCCTCATTAAATTACTTTCATTGAGTTTTCCATAAAATAATCACCATTTTTATTTGAAAGTGAGGAATTGTCATTGCTAAGGCTTCTTCATATGTGTTGTACGCTTTTACTAGACACATCCTGTATTTTGTAAGCCTTGCTTCCTAAAGGAACATATCTCCGGGCTGGACATGTCTTGGAAGGAGTGGTCCTGTTTTTGATATCCCTTTTGTAGCCATCATGAGGCTACTTTCTGAACCCTAATCTCATCACTAGATGGTATCAGATTTACATGGAGTCCAAAGCTAGGTCTGAGAAGTGCTGTAACATAATGACTCTACTCATGGGTTAAAATCGGCTAAATGTGACATTTCCTCCTTGCCTTTCTCAGAACTTTTCTAATTGTGTGCAATGCCATATTGAGTTTCTCTGTATTTTCTTAAAGTGTTTTATCAGCAACAACAACAATACTTTTCAAGGTTAGTAAAGGTTTAAAAAGCAAAGTATTCATCTAGAATTCTTTTTTTGTTTTACTTTAAAACTTCTTCCATCACAAACTGCATAACACATTGGTCCCCTATGAATGAAGTAATAACTCTTTATATATTGTATATGACCCAAAACCACAGTGGCTAATGGAATTGGTCTGTGTTGCATTCCAATATTTCTTTCTTCTTCACTAATGTTCAATACTTTATTAGTAGAGAATAAATTGGTACATTTCTTTTATTGTCATCTTTGCTTTCCTTTATAAACCAGCGTGGATGAGGGAAATATCATTCAGTGTTTAATCATCCGAAGATTCTCTGGTGACACTAGTCCAGAAACTACATTGTCAAGATTTCTTTTGAAGATGTTAAAAGAATTTAGCCACAAAAGGCAGGTTGGCTATAAATCAGCAACCATGCGAGGTGTATATACGGCAAAACTATTTCCAATGATTCAGTATAATTTAAAAGCCATAAACACCTGGGAATGGCAAAACATACAAAGTCATTTTGAACCCACTTGAAAGAGTCAGATAGTACTCTCAGTTCATTTGTGAGATTAATAATAAGTTGCTGTTAGTTCAAATAATGTATTAATCAAGCAAAATGTTTTCTCTGATGACCACAGCCACTAAAGTAAAATATACCCCAAGCTATACAGCATCAGTGGCTCTTTTTAAGTTACCTCCTCAGTATTTATGTAATTTCTTCCTACCTTGCTAATGATACTGATATTCATCTCAGGTACACTATAGCTCCTCTGGATGTGCCTTACATTTCATACAGAAAAGGTAGATTCATAATTAACTGTCCATATCACTACAATGTCATTATGAAAAAGATCTGCTTTATTTATGCAACTATTGCATGCACTGACAGATGAACATGAAAATAATCTGGGTTTTTTTCAATAAACTAGAAAGCAGACAATAAGTGACTCAAGACCAACTGCTTTCTCCAGTTATGGTATATATAGTTTCACCTCTTCAGTTTGTATTCCCAGATCCTGCCTTTGCTATAATTAAATTGTAATGAAGAATGTCTTGCATTCAAAACCTTGTCTAACTTTATCCCAACAACAAAGTTGGTCCAATAAAAGATATTGCCCTAAGAAATCCTTGCCTCTTGTATAATCAAAATGTGTGAGAAAAGAATTATATCAATGTAACAAAAAACAATGTCTGTTGTGACATCTGCAGAACTCAACAGGGATTACTTTAGGAGATCCTAAGGTTATTTTTCTTGACAAGTATTTTACAAGACAAACCTATACCTTTTTTTTCTTGAAAGGATATCTGTTTTACATTATCTCCTTAAAAATAGAGAGAAAGAAAGAGAGAGAGAGAGATGCAGGGATAGACATAGAGAAAACGAATCACCATTGCCTCTCCTCCCCACCTTAGGAGTTTAAAGGAAATTTGTTGACATACTCTGAAGCAGGCATAGACAAAGCAGTACAGGAAAAGGGAGGCAGTCAGAAAGATCAGGATTCAGCTTTGCTTAAACTAATTCCACATGCCCCATGAACCATTAGTTGCTTTTTACTTCCTGCTCCAAAGATTTGTAGAGAAAATAATCTGGGCTAGGGAAAAGCTACACTTTTTTTCCAGCAAGATGCTGTGTTAGCAAATCCAACATAAGAGCCACCTTTGGCAAGCCAAGGTTCTTAATAAACCATTTTTCAAACACTACTGGTATTTCCTTTCTAAGGAAGATGGACTGTGACTGGAATCAATTTCATCATTTGTATGGCTACAATTGCCAAGTTTCTGGAAATAATTGCCATTTAAATACTGGATAAAATGTATTATATGAAGCCGACAACAGTTTTATTACCATTTAATTTTCGTGATTTGTTTGTTTGTAGCAGGCTCAAGGTATCTCAAAATGAAGATGTTTGGTGAGGGATGAGCATTTGAATAAATCACAAAAGAATGTCAGACTAATGTTGACCATCTGACTTGAATCCACAAAAAGAAGGAAATTTGGAATAACGGCTAAGACCAACTTCTTATTTCTTTTCACAGTAAATTGTAGATTGTGGTTTGATATGCTTCTTAGCCAATAATAATGCTTAGTTTTCTTATAAAGGTTTTCAACTATAGCCTGTTTTACATAAAGAGGAACTGAGGTACAACACAGTAAATGCCTTTTCTGAGACCACTGAGCTCTTTTAGAAGAGCCTGAATGTAGCCATAACTCCAAAAACAGGGACAAGAGTAGAAAGATCAACAGGCCAGATTTTTCTTCATCCACACACTTATAAACCAAGGGTAATGCTCTTGAAATTAACTGAATTAAACAACTTGTTTTAAATGAAAAAAATAATGTTTTACTTAAAGGTCTGACTCACTTGCCAGAATCAGTATCCTACAAATAAACTGGCAAACTGGATGGAGGAGCACAGACCTTGAAACCAAGCAGAGAAAGAAATGGGGGTGGGAATTGAAGAACTACTGGTGAATTTTACCTGGGAAATGGGTCATTTAGGAAATTCGGAAATTCTGTTCTGGAGGTGATGAGGAAAATACTGGATCAGTC